AGCCTTAGTTCTTTTGCTTGTACACACACATATATATATATATTATATATACTAAATATGTAATTATACTGTAGAGTTTGTGCACAGTCGAGCTCAGCAATGAAAGAAAACATTGTACTTAGCTCATTACATGAGATTAAATATTATAACAACTGAGATTATAACAACATGAGATTAAATATTATAACTACAATTATATGTTTATAATGAAAACAAACCCGACTTCTCTTCCTTTCTGTTAGGTGCAGACGTTGCTTCAGCAAATGCAGGACAAATTTCAAACCATGTCTGACCAAATAATTGGAAGAAATATCCTTTTTTTTAAAGTCAGATAGGTGTTATACACTATGGAATCATAAGTATTGTAAAGTCTATTTACCAGTGGGATTTGTGAGATCATAGAATCCCAGACTGGTTTGGGTTGGGTGGGACCTTAAAGCTCATCCTGTTCCAACCCCCCTGCCAGCAGCAGGGACACCTTCCACTAGACCAGGTTGCTCAAAGCCTCATCCAGCCTGGCCTTGAACACTTCCAGGGAGGAGCAGCCACAGCTTCTCTGGGCAACCTGATATAAATTTAAAGTGACCGTAAGAGTTTGAGCGAAACTGTAATAAAACCAACCCACCAAGCTGACCACTGCTGGATTGCAGTCATATCCCTTAACTCCACTGAACTCGATGACATGAGCTGTCGCATAGATGACCTGGAGAAGAACATAGCAGACCTCATGACGCAAGCGGGAGTGGAGGAACTGGAAGGCGAGAACAAGACCCCTGCTCCTAACAAGAGTTAAAGTGAGACAGTTGGTTGCTAGTCTTGAAACAAATCCTAAAGTCACTTGAAATAACTGACTTGAATGTAGGCAGAATTCTTCCTTTGATGTGTGAGGCAGTCTGACATTCATTCACAGCAGCTCTGGGCATTGTAATACATGAAGTTTTAAGAAGCTCTCCTCAGCAGGCTCCTAACAGCCTCTCCAGCAAGGGTGTTTTCTTCACCAGTATTGAGAGGAGAGTTATTTTCTTCATGGTTGGTTAGTTTTGAGGAAGTGCAATAGCTGTAGTCATCCTCTGTTACACACTCACTCTGAAATAGTGACTGTCATTGCAGGATGGGAAAAAGCATCACTACCAAAGTGAGCTGTTCTTCTCCCTTCTGTCATCATCTCTGGGCCTTCTAGACAGGACCAGAATCTCACACACATTAACCAACGTCCACTCTGGTTTCTGTAGCTGGAAAGTTAGTGTGAGAGTGGTGCTGCTCTTCCATCTTCCACCACGTCCTGCAGACTTCAGCTCCCACGGAGCTCCTGGAGACTGTGGACTTGCTGCTGTGCACAGGGCTGATGAGTGAGTTACTGCCCATCGGCTGCAGGTTCCTCCTGTGGAAGTTAGGAGCTTGCTGGGAGCACATAACTCACACACTCCACTGCAGAGCAGCAGGTCCTCGGTGGACTCGGTGTAAGACAACACCCAGACATGAAGAAAGGTAAATTCTAGGGCAGCGCTCCCTAGGAACAAAAACTGATTGAAAGGTAGATGTGATATTACATATGATGTAATTTCTGAAGTGATAACCTGCCCCTATATTACACAAAACCAATGGAGAAGTAAATATTTTATATAGTCAGCAAGCAGCAGTTCAAAATCTAGTACAGAAACGTGTGAATAAATTCCAGTGGTGAGGTGAGTGCCACACACGGCGTTTACAGCGACTGGTGAAGGCGATTCAGAAGATGGGGGCAATGCAAGAGTGACAGAATGTTACAGCATGAGCAGCTCTGTGTGGGGGGGGGCTGCTCAGTTACAATGTGTGAGCACTCAGATCTCACTGCAGCTGGAACAGAGCTTGATTTTTGTCACCCATGGAAGGCAGCTGGTAAATAAATTACTAGATGTGTCGTGTTAGGTTATTATTTTGTTTAAGGTGGCCAAGAAAGACGTGTCTCAGCCTCTCTTAGGCTTGAAATTCTGAGGTCACATCTAGAATATGCAGCCTGTATAACAGGCGTGTGTGTATGATGCAGGTATATGTCTTGCTTGTTAAATTACCTATTTTTTGTGATCCTGTGGCAGAATTACAAATGATTATGGGTTTATTGCCCCCAGTGCCAGTTCCCTTCGCTTGAACCCCACAAATGAAAATTTCTGGTGAGCACGAGTTTCATAATTCTTCTCAGTAACTTTTTTTTTTTAAATTATTATTCTTTATCTTCAACAGGTTGCCAATAACTTGAGATGAATCCTGGAAGACTTTTTTTTTCCTACAAATCCTTGGAATTATACAACAGCTTTTTGCAACTACTGTGTGTAAAAGCATTTTTCTATTGTTACAGAGCTTGCGTTCCTGATGTCTATTGTATAGTTTGAGGTAGGTTAGTTTCTATTTGGATTCGTGTACTGTAATTTCACTTTTTGAATTCTTGTTATGAGGATCAATTAGTTGTGTTATTAAAACACAGATCTTAGGGATCTCAACAACTGGGTGTATTTTTTTGTGAAGTCACTTTTTTTCCCTTTCTTATACTTCTTGTAGAGGTTTCATTTTTGATAGCGAAGCATCGAGTGACTCCCAGTAAATGGGTCTCTGTCTTAACTTGTCCTACATAACTTTGTGGAGTGAAGCACAAGACTGAAACGTAACATTAAATCTCAGCTCTAAGCATCAGCCACTCCAGTAGTTGAAGACTTGTGTTGTTTTCTCGTAAATGTAATAAAGTGATTTTTTTAACACTGTAAAACTGCTTTGAAACTGACGATGTGTCATTTAGCATCACCTTTGACCAAGAATGATGATTAAAAACAGAAGAGGGATGGGATTGTGGGAGTGTCTGTGTGGAGTCTTTCAGTTTAAATCACTGTTTTGTTGTACAAATAGGTTTGCTAACAAAGTGTAACTTGGTATAACATGTTACAGTAACAAAAAAAGGAGAGAATGCAGTTGGAATTGTAAAGCCTTGCTTCTCTTTGAGTAACAGCTAGCCAGAACTCTTCAAAATATTTGGTTTAGAAAGGTGTTTGCTTTTATAATCATATCTGCATTTATAGATCTGGAGTTTAATGGATTTTGGCACTAAAAATTGTATTTAGAAGAGTCTGTACTATGTTACTGGGGAAGAAAAATGACCAATGTCAGATATTACTGACAATCACTGCAATGCTCCTCCAGCTTGGAATACAAATTTAGGACGTCAGTGGCAGTCAGCAGATGTACGTGGACCACACTTAAGACTGCTCTTAATTAGCAGCTCTGTATTACGAAGGCAGTATGACAGGTCATTTTTCAAAACTAAGGGGAAATTGTCATAAAAACTCATAATAACAGGGGAATTTTGTGAACATAGGAAATGTATCAATATAACTTGTAATACCAGCCCGAGGCTCTTTGTAATGTCATTTTAAAAAATCTAATAAACTATGATGTGGTAAGAAATAATCAGGTCATCTATATTAAGGCAAAATCTGGCATAAAGGTATCAGTGTATGTGAGAGTGTGTTTAGTTACAAGTTACAGAAGGACTTTAGCACAGCCACTGCTTATGGAGTGTAGGCTGGAGTGTAGGTGTGTGTTGGATAATAAATGGGTGAGCACGATTCATGCCCTGTCAGATGGGGATTTTAGGTAATTACAATATAGACCAAATCCATAGGAACACATATTAAAGCAGAGAGTCATTTTATATGATGTTTATACAATTAAATTCTCATCTAACCTTCTTCCTCCTGGGGGAGAAATGGTTGTTCTTGAATTCTTTTGCACTATCCTCTCTACAGCAGTAGCAGGCCTGCTTTCTGCAAGTTTATTGTCCAAATAAGTTATCAGAAAATTATTTCAGCTTTAAGAAGCAGCTCAATTCTTCAAGTCATTGGAAAGTTTCTAAACACTTCAGTAGGGGTAATTTACCCTCATCAATTTAACTCTTAATTGATTTTGAAACGTAGCAATTCAATTCAAAACAAGCCTTTCAGATGGAGGGGTATTATTTGTAAGTCTTTAAAGGCTGCATATTTTTGAGAAACATGTTTTATTCTTACTCAAAACCAGTGATAGAACTTCTACATATAAACAGCACACAAGCCAAAGTAGAATCCCTTTTGGCCACATTTTCTTGAAGTTCTGTTAGATTAATAGACAAAGCAGAGCAGAAGATGACTGTTCCTGAGTGTTACTTTATATGTATTTGATAACACTTGACAAATAACAGTATCCTTGGGGTTTTTTTTTTCCCCTCAATATGCTGGTTCACATCTTATCTGATAAATACTTGTACTTTCCCCTGGGCTGCCTCACTCGCAAAGAAAAAAGTCTGAGGTTACCCAAGGAAGCTGTGGCTGCTTCTCCCTGGAAGTGTTGAAGGCCAGGCTGGATGAGGCTTTGAGCAACCTGATCTAGTGGAAGGTGTCCCTGCTGCTGGCAGGGGGGGTCAAACTAAATGATCTTTAAGGTCCCTTCCAACCCAAACCATTCTATGATTCTGTGATTCTATCAAGCTCTTGAATAGGGACTATCTGCCCTATTAGAGTATGCATATAAATGCATATATGTTCCATATATGCATTTAAATCAAACTGAGCGGTGCTGGGTTTTGTTTAGGACCATCCTTACAGACTGCAGCTTGCATTTTTTTAGTTATTTATTTTTATGCTAAAGTCTGTGTAAGCACTTTCTGCTTTTAAGAGATTTTTCTGCTACCTGTCATTAAGGTAACAGACGCTTGGATTTTATCATGGGTGTATTTCCCTCCTCCAGTTTATTTTCACAAACAGTTACAGATTAAATGGCCCCACTCTGATTTCCTTGTTTAATGGATTTAACTGCAACATTTTCCAGGTTGCAGTTCAAAGCTGGTGTAACTTTGAGCAGAGCTGCTGTAATTTGTAGGAAAGGCAAGATCCATGCTGTGGTAGGAGAATGGTCTGCTCTGCCTCTGTGTGGGTGGCTGCTCATGTCCACCTCCTACAAGAGGGGAAGGGGTTGCTGCTGTCAGAGGTGCCATCAAGGAGGAGGTGAGATAGATGGAAAAGGAGAATGGTCTGCTCTGCCTCTGTGTGGGTGCGTGGGTGGCTGCTCATGTCCACCTCCTGCAAGAGGGGAAGGGGTTGCTGCTGTCATAGGTGCCATCGAGGAGGAGGTGAGATAGATGGAAAGCACCCTTTTGAACTTGCTGCTTCCTTCATTCTTTCCCATCCTAACCCAAGCAGCAAGTAAGGGGGTAGCAAAGCAACTTCTTGTGAGCACAAGGTATGGAATTACATAAAACAGAGTTTATGGGTTCTGCGTTTATGGGGAAAAGGGAGAACAGCTGAGAAAGGAGAAGACAGAACCACCCCTGCTCCTGCCTAAGTTCCTGAAGTTCTGCATTGTCTCCTCTCTAACCACTTCTACTCCAAATTTCCATTACCACCATTCTCTTCCACTCCAGCTTCTCTTCCACTCTGACTCTTCAGAGCTCAATTTCAGCTGTTACTGAGGAAAAAGCCATTGTTTCCAAACGGTCTCCAGGTAACTGCTAAGTAGAGACACTCTTTCACAAAGAATCTGCATTAGGAATTGCAGATAGAGTCAGTCTTTTTTCTGTGACAGGAACGATGAGTGACACCATGCAAGTCTTCAACCACAGTTTTCACAGCTAATCATTAATAGCAGTATTGTTTTCTGAATGCCAGACTTAAAGACCTGAGAACCCAGAAACAAGCTGAAGATCACAGGAGCTGTGGAGCCTGTGATGAATTTTGTACTGGGCAGCAGAAATAAATGTGAAATGTGTCTTGTCTGGTGTCTTAATTCCTATCTTTATGGCAGGAATGATAGTCTCTCAGTACAGAGGAACCGTGCTATAATAAATCCATGTTTTGAAACACTTATGCCCTCTGATAAGTGATCCAGAATTATCGTTTCCTTAAGAGGATTTTTCATTTAATCTCTGCCCTAAAGACAACGTACAGTAAATAAGACTGCACACAGATAGCACTTCAACTAATACCATCTGGTCCATGCACCAAATGAAGCTGGTTATAGGCCAGGGAGACACACTGAACTACAACGTTTGTGATCTGCCAGAGCTATTTTCAAAGCCCTCCTTTCCCAGAGTTGAACCCAGGTCTCCCGTACCATTGCCTGCAGCACTGCCTGCTGTGGGACCGAGCTCCTGTGAAATTACTTGGACTTCATCTCTCAGTGTATTGTTGGCCGGGGAGACAGGGAACTGTACAAATCCATGTTATCTGGCCTCCTCCAGACTTAACTGACTCAACACTCACCTATAAAGTACTGTTGGTTCCTTTCCTGAGATGGCGTGAGGCACGGGGAATTGGTTTGCCCGAGTTTACGGTGGAAATCAGTAAGAGACCTCACCTGCCTGTCTTCCAAACCCTGAAGTGCTGAAGTCACTCAGTGGTTCTGCTAAACTTGAAAGCTCATGACATTCATTTCTTTATATTGTAAAGACATTTGACACTGTGCCTTCAAAAATAAAATAATTTTGATTCCATAGGGTTGTGCTGTGAAACACCTGTAACCAAAGCCAGAGACTCTGTCCATCCTCTCTCTAAAATTCCATCTATCTGCAGTTTTTCTCAAGGTATTCACACAGAATTATTTAATGAAGATTTTTCTGTCCTCAAGATTGTAACTCCCTAGCAGATACTGCCTTCTAGTGGGCACACTCACTAATAGAAGGAACACTACTCAGATTAATTATTTGGTTACCTTTCATGTACCAGTTCAGATGTTAGGACTTTAATGAGCCACACGCTCTTTTGAAATGTGGTTATTACACAAGACACTGAGGCTTTGTTTACAATTAAGAAAGTTAATAGGATACACAAATCCCTTCCTGAGCTTTAAGCCTCACTGTGTTTTGAAAAGACCTGATGCTCACCAAGATTTTTTTTTTTCTGCCTTCAATATAGAGTTAATGAAATTAGATCATTAGGAAAACAAAGCATGGGAATAGGAACTTTAGATCTTATCAGCCTTCTGAGATAAGAATGGTTAAACAGGCCTTGGCTCTGAAAAATGCACATGCATTAATAGAAAGCGTTCTTTTATGTCGTTTTGTCACAGACCTGACTTTTATTTATCAAGCTTTTATAGTTAGATACATATGTAATAATTTCTCCAGGAAGGTTTCCAGGAAGTTTTTGTTTGTTCATTTATTTTCACATGAACTTTGAGAAGTCAGGAGGCCAAGGATAAGCAGGACCAACATTGTTTAGTTTGGGAAAATTAAAGCAACTCATTACACAGAAGAAAACCAGACAAACTTTAAGACCTGAGGCTACCTGTTAGTTTCTAGACATTTAAGACCCCACCTATGAAGACCATGTGTGATGAAGTGACCACCATGGTCTGAGTGCTGACATATGACACATCCCAAAGGCAATAATGAAGGAGAATTCATTAGCTTCCCGAGAGGCTGCTCAGCAGCAGAACAGCAATGCATTTAGTTTGCCAACTGCCACAAAACAGGAATTTT